ATACTGAGGTTGATCCCAGGGGCTCAAGGTCCTGGGTTTAGCCTGAACTCTTCATGAGGAAACCCAAAGTCATTGGCTCGCGCCGCTCACTTCGGGTGGTAAAGACACGTTGATCTCATCACCAGTGTATAATTCCAAATAGAAATCATGCATTTAGCACTGATTCATTCGTGACGTCATCCAATAATGACACACCTACATATGAATCCTGTCAGACTGTAATCCCTTAATTAGATGCCCCTCGTTGCACGTCAAAACTGATCTATCACAGAGATCCACTTTCATGTTTGGCTACCTATGGCTAAGTCCAAGACAAAGCTCGACGCAAAGTTAAAGCTTCTGACTAATTTTGCGGAGTCGAATCTTTCTTATACTCGTATGCACAACTAACTCAATACCATGTTCGAATACCGTCAACCTAGCAATAGATCCAGAGACTGGCCAGTCGGAGCGAGGCTCCCTATTGTGTTCTTCAAGCGCTCTTGAATGATCTAAAAGCGCAAGGCCCTTGCCAAAGTGCTTAATGCACAAAACATTGTGCGAACAGATGTAAGGGTGTCAGTCAAGAGCCAGACTTAATAGTATATATGGTTAAGGAGGACCATAACGGCTCTTATCAAGTCTGATGTGTCGAACAATATGGCTCAGTGTGTTCCAACCATGCCATCCTAAGATGAGATCATATCTTGCATCCAAGTCTAAGACTAGACAGCGTTCCACGCTATCAAAGTCAAGGAACTTGACTACGAGGTCCACAGGGGCCTTCGGGGCCGTGACACGCGTCCCCGTCGCTAGGCAAACAGTGACGATGTCACCCAACCGCGCTTTCAGCGCCACGACATACAGCTGCCTTCCTTCCATCGCGGAGCGTCGAGCATAATTGCCCAACGCCCCAGAATCGATGATGATCTTCCATGGCTTCTCGAGGCCCTTTACGGTCGCCTCCACGACCATCAAGCCGGTTTGCACACACGTTCCGTGTTCAAGAGCACGGAACTCTTCGGGGCTAGACCCTGTTGACCAATGCCTCCCTGAGGCTCAACAGAACTCAGTTCTTCCCCAGCAGGCCGCCCCGCGCCTACCGAGTGGTGTCGTTTCTCCGCGACGAACCAGACTGGTAGGCGTTGGGGCGATGGTTGGAAAAACCTTGATGCGCTCTGCGCAGGGGCAAACTGTTCCGAAGGTGACGGGTGTCTTCACAGACAATTCACCGTCGAATATGTGTATGCTGTCCGGCAGCTCGGAGCTCTGCTCCCTCGTCCTCAACATAGCTGAGATCCAATGGCATAGGCCCGCTCGACGAGCTGTTGGAGTGTGCATTCTAACCC